CATCACTTGCTTGTAGGTTATGTTACTGCTGCTATGTAGAAGTAACTACTTGAGCTCTTAGGAACTGGAACTCACTTTAACTTTCCCTTTCTGCCTCATTGACTGCAGATCACTTCTGAGGAGGTAACACATTACTTTTGTTAACTGTTACCTTGAACTTTTTTACCGTTAGAGTTTTGTCTCTGACCATTGGGCTCTTTGAGTTAAATACATCCAAACTCTGAATCACAATAAAGATCTGCGGCATTGTTGAACACATCCATTGTGGCTGGACATCTATACAAACCCAACAGAGCCTCTCAGCTCTTCTATTCCACCAGGACTTTGAAAGTTTTAGCTAAGCCTGAGATGGTGTTTCCATCATTTTCTTTTCTTACTTTGGTTGGGACCATATGTAGGCTCTTTCTGGTGTGGAAGCACATTGTTTGCCTACATCTGAAGAGACAGTGGTTTTATGAGGAGGGTAGCAATTGCTGCAAAAAGTTTGGCTAATATTTGCCCAAAATAACATATTCTCTTCTTTTTCTATTTGAATTACTTCCTTATCCATCATGTCTTAATTCATTGCTGTCTCTTCTTAGGCCTTTTATTTAAGATATAATTTTTTTTTTTTTTGCCAGAAGTTTTAGGTTTCTCTCACCGGGGTCCCTAAGGACAGATTGTGCCCAAACAAATACATATAACCACCTAGATTGAGGAAGCTTTATTTTTTCTCTGTATTTTGCATTTTTTGTCTAAACCTGATCTAAGGAGTGGCTTTGAGATTTGTGTGTCCCTCTTCCAAACTTATGCATTTTATTTATTTTTGCAAATCTTAGGAACAAGTTCAGAATTAGGGAAGACCAATTTGCAAATTCATCATTCACCCCTAATTATGTGTACATTTGAATTAAAGACACCTGCTTTCATTTATCTGTACTTGGCAATGTGTTTGAATTTCCACAACTATGTGTGGGTTTTAGAGGTTTACATTTTGCTTTACGTAGGTTCAGGTCAAGAGGTAACAAGGTATAGAGTCATAAATAGGCACATAAGAGGAATCTTAGTAGGGAATTAGTGAATTGTTAGCTGACCTCTGTTTCAGCTGGAGCCAGTATCTTGATAGTTAATTTTTTTTGACAGCTAATTTTTATGATACAAAATGGTTCCTCTCTACTCTCATATCTCCATCCCTAGCTGCACATAATCTCTACCAGTCCTATGCAATTCTAGAAGTAGTTTCTTTGCTTTTTCACATCTGGTCTGTCTTCATTGCTATTCTTAAGGGGATTTGTATTGTGACTTTCTCACTTTTAATATGCAATTTCCTTACTAAACTGAAGTTTTGGTTTTTGAAAAAGTAATTTATCTGCAGTACATTTATGATTGTAGTTTACCTTTGGCTGGGAAGACATTCTTCCTGCCTATCTATATTCAGCATGTTTTCTTTCATATTTAATATGGCTATAAACGCTAAAGCTAGGTTAGATTTTTGTTTTAAATTCAATTAGCCAACATATAGTACATCATTAGTTTCAGATGTAGTATTCAATTATTTATCAGTTGCATATTCATCACATTGAATTGACACAAATGTCATCGAGTGTTGTTTGATACTAAAAATGATAAGCAGCAAGTCACTGCCCTTAGTAAGGATTTAAGGAAATAAAGATATCAGTTCTAAGCCATGGGTGAAACATTGTGAATAAATGAGTCTTTTAGATTCAAGTCTTTGCTTGCATTGAGGTAAGAGCAGTGAACATATAAGTTCACATAATTAATCCAAAAAATTACCTATTTTTTTAATTTTTTTATTGTTATGTTAATCACCATATATTACATCATTAGTTTTTGATGTAGTGTTCCACGATTCATTGTTTGTTCATAACACCCAGTGCTCCATGCAGAATGTGCCCTCCTCAATACCCATCACCAGGCCAACCCATCCCCCCACCCTCCTCCCCTCCAGAACCCTCAGTTTGTTTCTCAGAGTCCGTCATCTCTCATGGTTCGTCTCCCCCTCGGACTTACTCCCCTTCATTCTTCCTCTCCTGCTATCTTCTTCTTTTTCTTTTTTCTTAAAATATGTTGCGTTATTTGTTTCAGAAGTACAGAAGTAGGCTTAGCGAGATTGGTGGATAGGCTTATGATCACATTCCTGGGGAAGCTGAGTGGTTTACCTTTTCCTCTTCCCGGAGGGTGATTTATCCACTTAGGCAGTGGGTAAGTTGAAAGCAAGTACTGTCTTTGAAGAGAAGCTTCTGAGAAGATTGAGTTCCCTGCTCTGGTCTTCCTAGATTCATAAGATCTTACAGGTGTCTATCTCTGGGGTCTCTGCTCTCCTTCTGTGTGTGGTGGGGATCCAGGTCTTCCCATGCTGTTCATTTGAAGCAGTCTAGTATGGGCAGGAGCACTGTACTTGCATTCAGTATAACACATGGATGGCATTCTCCTACTGAATAGTGGAAGTCAGCTACTTGATACTAAAAACTTAAAAGAAGTGAGAGCTGTATGTTGAGCTCATTGGGATGATTCTGCTAGATTACAATTCACCACTGTTCTACTTCAGGTGTGTGAACAAGTGGCCTATAATATCAGTCTGAAGGTCAGCTGGGGTTTCCTCTTAATAGCTGATCATATGTCCATGGTTTCAGGGTTCAAAGACTAAGTCCTTCATGTCTTTGTGCTATAAATTAGTAACAAAAAGGACAGGGATTTCATAACCTTCTGAACTTTTTTTTCTTTTTGCTGACTTCCAGGGGACTCTTACTCAGATTTGTAGAAATAGAAGTTAATTATTAAACTATTCCCCAACTTGCACCTCCTTAATCTTCACCTCAAAACAAATACACTAATTCTTTAGAGCTATTACTTGGAAAGTTATGATATGGGCTTCAGAGGAGATGGAGAAGAAAAAAAACATCTTTTTGGGAAACTCTGAACATGTGAATTCTGTCCTGCTGGAGGGATCTTGGGGGCTTCCTGGGAAAACACTGGATTTAGATGAAACTGTGGGTGGATCATCTGTACATTCTTCCACTGATGTTTGAGCCTATACAAAGTAAATGTTTCCTGAGTATGTTCCAGCATGTTTTCCTTACTTTCATACTTTCTGTCTCCCAGAAACATATACATTTTGAATGATGATAGGCTATCAGATGGCAGCACTGAGAGTTTGCAGGGAAGAGGCAGAGAAAAGGCTTTGACAACTCTGTATTTTGTAGAGGTGGTCCTGCAACCCTCATGTGGAACTATGCTGGAGTTTGCAGAAGCGTTGCCCTATCTATGTGAAAGGCACTTATTGGTGATAATGCTCATTTGTTATTTGGCTTCATAGCTGCAAAATTCTGAGTGTTTTATTCTCCACCACTGAAAGGGAGCATAAAATGGCCATCTTAAAGATAAATTGGCAAATTGTGTCCCAGTACACTGAAAGGGTCTTAACTTTGATTGGTTTTTCAGTAGTTTAAACTAGGTGAAAGGCCATTCCCAGAATTGGGTTGAAATCTGGACTCAGCCTGGATTAGGCCTTGACATTTAGCTGCTTCCAATGCTTTTTCTCCAAATGATGAGGTATACATCCAGTTCAACCATTATTTCTTGAGCCTCCCCTTATATGTGCTCCTTTACGAAAATAACCTTTGATAAACGAGGCAGAACATTGCCCCTCTGTTATGCCATTTACTATTTAAAAACAAGAAGCAAACAAAGAAATACAAGTGTATAAGGAAGGTGTGTTATATATAGACTATATCAGGCAAGACCCTGAATTTCAAACTTCTTTCCCCAGCAAAAAAGCAATCACAGAATATATTTTCAACTTTTTTTGGCATGCTTTTTTTTCTGTCTTTGCAGTCTCTTCTTGTCTCCCCACCTCCTCTGATCCTGCCTCAAGGTTTTCTGTAAATGTTAAACTGCTCGTATTTTGATGCACTATATAATGTGATGAAAATTTTGATTAGGCCATCCTCATACATGAATGTAATGTAAATAAAAATGGATCTGGGAAAATAGGACTATAAACCAGACATTGAGATGAACAATTTTCCAATGGACAAGCAGAAGTTAACCCTGGGTCCATGCTTTGATGAAACCCATGTAGAAAGCCTCTCTGAGAGTCAAATTAAAGCCTTAACTCTAAGTGAACTGATTTGAGAAGAGAAAAAATATGCCTCACCAATAATTACAAATTCTAACTGCTGAGATCTTCTATGATAGGGTTAATGTAATCCATGAAAGATTTCTTTAAGAAATGTGACCCTAATAAAACTGCAGATAAGGAAAATAAGGAGGGATGGCTAGTTGAGTATAATTAAATGATGCACAGCCTATGAGTGATGTGTGCATAGGGTCAACTGAAGCTTATGGGTCAGATGGAAGGAAAAGATCTCAGTATATTCCTTCTAATGGGAAATCAAGTCATATAAATAACTTAGAAGATTGGCTGGTGGAACTGATGGTCAAAAAGAAGTGAAGTGATTGGGTTTTCAAAGAGAGCATGATACCAATCTAAAATTAAGCATGGAGTATCATTGACAAGTAGGGTGGAAACATGGCTGGCGGTGTTGTTGCTCAAAAATATGGCCAAGACTTCTCAGATATACCGACTGTTGGATTCCCTGCTCTGCCTTCACTCCCTCTTCTGCTGGAACCAGTTTCAAATGCAGTTGATTTTTAGCAGGAGTTGTTGATAAAAACGCTGACTCTCAGCGCCTTGACACTCAGGATAAATTTTTTTAAAAATACATTTTTTCATCATAACGTGTTTCCCTTTAGGTTTTTAGTTTTGTCAGCAGTGGGAACAACAAAAATCATAATAAAAAAGGAGGAGTATACAGGGGGAGATCTACAGCCTTTTAAAAATCCAATTCTTTACACTTGTCCCAAAAGGCAATAAAGGACTATCTAAAAGTGCCATTTCCCAAAAGGGCCTGTGGGTACCTAAGAAACCAGAACACTGGGGAGTAACAATGATTCCTGGGAAAAGCTGATGTAATCAACATTTTATTTTCTCCAAACAGATCAGAATGAAGGATTTCATTGCAGGGAAGAATGTCGGATTCTTGGCCACTCTGACAGGTGCTGGATGCCCCGGAACCCCATGCCCACCCGCTCCAAGTCCCCTGAGCACGTGAGGAACATCATCGCGCTGTCCATTGAAGCTACTGCTGCTGATGCTGAGGCTTATGATGACTGCGGCCCCACCAAGCGGACTTTTGCAACCTTTGGAAAAGATGTCAGTGACCACCCGGCTGAGGAGAGGCCCACCTTGAAAGGCAGGAGAACTGTCGATGTGACCATCTGTAGCCCCAAGGTCAACGGCGCTATCCGGGAGGCGGGCAATGGCTGTGAGGCGATTAGCCCTGTCACCTCCCCGCTGCACCTCAAGAGCCCTCTGCCCACCAAGCCCTCCGTGTCTTACACCGTTGCCCTGGCTCCCCCGGCCCGTGATCTGGAGCAGTATATCAACAGTGGCCCATCTCGTCCCTCTGAAGCTGAGCCCCGTGGATCTGACAGCGAGAAAGTCATGCATGACGTCAACCCCACTCTGAAGGAGGGTCGTGACAAAGAGTCTCCTGGTGTGAAGCGTCTGAAGGATATCGTTCTCTAAAGCAGTCTCGGGGAAGAAGAGAGAGAAACCATGCTGGTTTTCGAGGAAGCAGGAGCTGATTTTTTTAATTACTCACCAATGGTTGGTTCTTGAGTGGCTGTTATTTCAGAGCTTTCCCTAAATGTGTTGTTTATAAGTGACTATCATTCTGTGACAATCCCTCTCGTTTCAACAGGCAGCAGGGGTGTTCAGGTGGAGCAAATTAGCTTTGGCTTGAGTTGTTCATGGGGCCTTGATGTTGGGGAAACAGACAAATTCAGTTGTGAAAAGTATTATGTATTAAGTGTTTGAATTTATATATTTTTCTATGTCAAAATTATAAATTACCATTGTTTGTGGAGGATTACATTTAAAAAAACAAAAAAAAAGGAGAAAGCTCTGGACACCTTTAATAAGCTCGCCACTGTTTTGTAGTGTAGACAAGTTAATGGCCATTTATTGTGTACTATTCATTGATTCAGTGATGTGAAATTGAGCCCCCAAAAGGTTGTTTCTGAAGCTTAAGTACTTTCCAATGCCGCTACTTTGCTGTGGACACCCCTGCTTTAAGAACCCTTTTGCTAGCTGTGCTACCGTTGTATTTGATATTGCAAATTGCTATGTGTGTGGTGACGGCAAAAGGCTTTTTTAGAAGTTGGTGTTTTTTTTTCTTAATAAAACTATAGACAAAACAAAGTGCAAAAAACCGAGATGGCAAGTGAATGAGCAACACCACACATATAGATTGAATACTTGGAGGATACTCACTCATGGAGGATACCCATGTAGTGATTACTCACCACCTTGCAGAGTATTTCTCCTGCCTTTCAGTCTTCTGCCCAGATCAGTGATAGATCATCACAGAACGTCATTTTTGGATATTCTGCTATCTAATTTACAGTTGTCAGAACTACTGTGCTGAAAGTTTTATGGCATCAATTTTTAAAAATTTTCAGGCCCTGAATGGGAAAGTTGCTCCTGAAGTTATCAGTTTCCAGGCTTAGAAATTCCCTGTCTGTAATTGTCTAAAATTCAAAAAGACTGAATCTATTTTGAGATCTAAATTGGCATCTTTTCTGACACACACTTCCTGATTCAGTGTTTCCCAATCACGATTAGAATTAGACTGGAAAGCATGTTGGGGGCTGGAATTGAGAACTCCATGTTGTTCTGTATTGTAGGATTATAAATAGGAATAGAGTAAGCAGTACAAAGTGTACATTTAGGAAAAGACAGGTAACCAGTAACAGCATCACTAATCCAATTACTGTGCCTTCTAAATGGAGACACTTGGACACTTGAACTCGTCTTTTTATGACTAATACTTTTTTAAATTAAAAATGTGAACAGGAAACTATTAAAATAAAAATCCTTTAGATTTAGCTAACTCTTTGCTGTAGGCTAGGAATACACCTTTTATTATTAACAAGTTTGTTATGCACATTCTTTTTGTTTGTTTGTTTCTCCAACTCCATTTAGTGTCTATTAATATTTAGTAGCCAACATAGTATTCTCGCACCTTTAAAACTAAACAGATATGTCACCTTTGCTCTGCCTTGGTCTTTAAAAAGTTGTTTCTAGAGAAACAAGTTTTGTGGTTCTGTTCTCATTTGTTTCAGTTTTTGAAATTCAAGAGTACCCAGAAAAATGGCTTAGGGGTTAGAGCACTAAATGCAAAAGAGGATTTATTTTCTTAAGTTTAGATAAGCAAGCTCTTTTAAATGTTTTAGTTATTTTTGTCTGAGTTCCTGGCTTTATACATTACTAGGAATATTTTCCTTTATGGGAGGGAGGGTTTTGAGGGAGGGTGGTAGGTAAGGCAGTAGGGATGGGGTTCGGTAGGGGAGAATATTTCTGAAAAAGAACCTATAATGAAGCTATAAATTCATCCTTATTTCTTATTCAGTGCTGAATACTACCTCATACAAAATATTGGTGTGGCTGCAAATTTCCCTCTGAAACTGATATAATTAGAGATCAATTACCATAACATCTTCATTTTGGCTCATTTCATTATCTCTCACACTTTTTCCCCCCCTCTGATTCATTTCATTTTAGCAGATTTTGAATTAGGTACTTACTTGTGTTTTCAAGTGACTATTTGATTAACATATTAAAAATTATGTTTTTCTTTAAGTTATGATGGCTGCCTGTAGAATTTCGACTGTTCTTCGCCTGATCCATCCTGATATTATTTTATTAGCTACCACATCAAGGTCACTTTCGAGTCAGATTTGACAGTTTTTGTACAGGTGTATTTCCTACTATGCTCAGTGGGAATGAGGGAGCTGAGAGGATTGTGGCAAGTGGGAATATTAAATATTATATGGCTGTTGAGCCAGAGAGGGCAGTGGCTGCCATGTCTCTTACCAGCCAGGTTTAAAATGGTTAGACAGCAGTGGCATCAGTTTTGCTTCCCCCCCCCCATTTTTTTCAGAATTCAGTTTCAAGCTACAGTCCAATCCCTTTTCCTTATCAAAATACTTTTTCTCAGTGGGAAGTCAGAGAATTTTTGGCTCCCAAACCCTTTTGAGCATGCTCAGAGAATTCCCCTCCTTAAGAAAGTATCTTTTTTTTTTCTTCTACAACTGTCTGATGTATACATACTCCCAGAAGCACAAGTGCATCCTAGGAGGGCTTTGTAAGCTAGTTTTATAGATAGGCTATGCCTGTGAGCAAGAATTTTGTGCAAGGATTCTAGATTTCCCTTTGGCTCATGTTTTTCCCTTCTTCCTTTCAATATGTCTGAGGCAAAGCCACATAAGGCCAGAGGGCCAAATATTCTTCCTTTTTCCTCTCTAAACATGTTACACTTTTAAAACATAAGGGAGCAGTTTCAGTTCCTAAATTCTAGGGAGTTCTATGCCATCTATCCTGATGTCCCTTTTGGGAAGGAGTTGGTGTTGAGGCATGACTTGCTTTTCTTAGAGCTGCGCTGGGCACATCCCTGGGCAGGTAAACTTCTTCATGCAATATAAAGGCTTTCGTCTGCATTGATTGTTTTCCCCCAAATATGGGAATATACTCTATAGAAGGAATAGGAAGAAGAGAGCCACACTATGTGCAGTCTCTTTTTTCTTTTCTCTATGCCGACTGATCTTTGAACCTGTTCAGAATGAAACTTCCCATCTCTTTGATCCTCTTAAAGCCAGTAGAGTAAATTATGATCCACCTTATTGCCCAAATAGGTGGGCCAAGGGATGGTGCAGTTCCTGAAGGGCAATTGTTCTCAAAGTGTACTCTTTGAACCAGCAGCAACCGCATCACTTGGGAACCTCTCAGAAATGGTAATGCTCTGTTCTTACCCGGACCAACTGAAGCAGAAACTCTGGCAGTGAGGCCTAGTAAATCATATGGATCAGATGCCCACTAAATGTTGAGGGCTCGTTAAAGCACAGGTTGATGGACCCCACACTTAGAGTTTCAGCAGGTCTGGGGTAGGTCCTGAGTCTTTGCCTAGTTAAAAATTCCGAGGTGATGCTGATGCTGCTGGTCCAGGGACCACACTTTGAGTATCACCACTCCAGAGTAAACCTGCCCCCTCGTAGAGCTAATTGCATGTAAGGTACCCATTTAAACTAATTTGTTGACATGGTTACCCACTGACCATGAATTAAAAATGTTAAAGGGAATACAATGTAGAACTCTGAAAATTAGCAACACCCAGAGTATCATCCTGATAGTGTTCCTTCAGCATACAACTGATCGTATGATGGGAATTCAGTTGAACTTTTCACATTGCTCTATCATATCATTAACAAGCAAAAGAAAAGTGGTCCACTTGAGGCAGCAAGGACAAAGGGCAGTTTGGGGAGAGGCAGGGTGTAGGGGATAGCTCAATTGGGCATCCAGGGTGGGAAAGGATTATTATTGTACATAATAGGAGTTCTGGTTGGAATTCCAGTTCACTCTGTGGGGATCATTTTGATGTTGAATGTTCCCCAAAGCATCCTGACAAGTCTGGTCCACTTGGCTCTTTACCCAGGGTAATAAGACCCTAACTGACTTCGAAAACCTGGCATACATGAGCTTAAGAAGTCCATTGTATACAGTCCTAGTGTTTGCCTTCTAAGTAAAATTACATTTAAGGATGTCATTTCATGAGTCAAATTGTATCTGCTGACACTGAAGTGTATTGAGATGTTGTTCTTTAGTTTAAGTATGTAACAAAGTAATATTCAAAGGGGATATGTGGGGGTGGGGCTGGGACCGGGAGGCTTTATATTGATAATGAACTATTCCAGAGCAAAACACATTGTCCTAATGAAGTTGTTGCAGCTCTCTTTGTTTTCTTGTGAGGCTGGAATTGGCCTGTGGGTCACTTGTTGTGCAAAAGTGGATTAATTTCAAATAGAACTCATATTGCTTTTGTAAAACAAAATCAACCACCTTGTCTGAAATGTATATTGCAAGGCGCTCTTGGTAAAGAACAACCCACGAAAACCTGATCTTGATTGGAAAGCACTGTAGGTCATTAGGGAAAAACTGATGATGCTGATTGTTGCTCTAGCTGTGTTGGCAATTAAAGATGACCTTGTTACTAACTGAAAGTTGCTGTCAACCTTAGCAAACAAACCAGCTAACACCATTACAGCACTGGTTAAGTAGATTTTTACTGGCACTAGCTGGCGTTCAGCTGAGGAAGGCTAGGATACAGACTTTAATGACCAAGAGCCAGACTAGCTCAAGCTAGAAATTCAGCAACAAATACCTCCTTGTGCTATTTGAATGCTAAGGTATTAGTTGCAAAAGGCTTACGCCTTTTCTCCTCTAGTGAGGGGAATGAGCCTGATGACACTATTACTGTTTACCTGTCAAACCAGGGTGGAAATTTAGAAGGATGCAAGTACAGTATGTCTCATTAAGCAGTCTCTGTTGCTGATTATATGAAGATGAAATTGTTGTATATGCTGATCTGTATGTTATGTACATTTTCACAGTGATTGAATCATTGTAAAAAGGAAAAAGACAAAAAAGAATCACCACTGTCTATTTTATGAAGATGATAAAGCAGCTTTATTAAATTATTACAGTTATGTTTTAAATGGTGTTATCTGCCACATTGTTTCCTTTTATCTGGTGGTTCTGTTTCCCCCTTAAATGTGTTTTCTCTGCTTCAAAAATTTAATGCATTTTAGTATTAAAGGTTATTATGGAGAAATTGTTGAGTGTTTGGTGACATGTGTCTTAGAGAGCATTGGTTGGCTCCAGGATGGGGTAACTGTTAGGCCAAGGAGGTAACCAGCCCTCGGCAGGGTCACTGGTGTTCAGACCCAAAGGGTTCCTCTTGCTTTTTCCACTTCACACAGTTGCCCACTCTCCGACTAAGAGGGGATTCTTCCTTCGATCAGGCTGTAGTCATTTCCTGAGTGCCTCCCCTCCTTCCTACCCCAGTTAATACCATTTTCTGATGAGAGAGCCCCATTCATATCCAGAACTGTAAAGACTTTTCTGGGTGGTACTTTAAACAAGAGCACTAAAACCATTCTTTAAGAATAACCATTTCAGGCCAACTTCACAGCGGGACTTCTCTGAAGAATTAATTTTAAAAAAAGGTGAGAAATAGTAGAAGCTGACAGCAGGAGAAAAGACAGTTTGAAACAAAGATGACCTGGCTGCCCCTTTGATGCCTTCCAGTTTGAAAGTGAGGCAACCAGGAGAGGCTCTGACTTTGCACATAACAAGGCTACAGTATAAGTCCTGATAATCTTTCTTTATCCAAACTATTGTTCTCTGGGACTTAGCACTTGGGCTGTAAGTATTCAATCTGGCTGCAACTGGCAGAAAAAAAAAATCCCAGTAGAGTAAAAAAAGGGGGCATGGCAGAACATTTCCAAAGGGTGACTTTAGTGGTTAAAGGCTAACTTGCTTCAGCATGACCTATTCTCTCTGGACCATTAAAAAAAAGATCTCAAGGAAATCCAC